GGGGGGGGGGGTCATAATCATGTGTTAATAGTTTCTTCAATCACTGATGGAGACGAATATTAAATTGTAGTGTTTGAAAAATAGTTTGCATTGAGAGTTTGGTTAATTTGGAATGACCTTCATTATTTTACCTTTGCAGTGGTGCACATCAGATCATTAGAAAGATAATTAGATGGATTTTTTCTTTTTAAATTGTAACCAAGCAGTACAAACCAGCAAGTAATTTCCAGTATTTACCAGATTCGCGCTGTTCAGCACAGTTCAGGACTGTGTGTCATGTTTCAGTTCAGTTGCCCCATGTTTGGCCTTTTGCTTTCTGTATGTGTCACTGTCTTCCTCTATCCTGAGTCCTAGTGAAGGTCTAAAGATGACCGGGGTTTGCAGTCAGGTCCTCTTAGCTTAGACCCGATGCTTTCAAAGAGCTGCTGTATTAATTATGTCTTTATTAATATTTCACCAGGTGTACTACCCATATCTGCTGATCAATAAGAAGCGCTACGCAGGCCTGTATTTCTCCTCCAGTGCAAGCACGCATGACAAAATGGACTGCAAAGGAATTGAGACCGTCCGCAGAGACAACTGCCCTCTGGTGGCTAACCTCATCAACACCTGTCTGCAGAAAATCCTCATAGACAGGTAAACACATACTCTGGCTGCACTCAGTTTATTTTGTGGAGTCCAGAAATAAGTCATGATTTCTAAACTTTGGACTTAATTTGCTCAGCTGTGTCTTTGACAGTCTGGTTGATTATGAACCAGAGATGCTGACATGGCTTAAAAACAACAACCAGAGCTGTTGTGATGTTTCTTCAGGGATCCCCAGGGGGCCGTGGAACACGCCAAAGAGGTGATCTCAGACCTGCTCTGCAATCGCATCGACATCAGCCAGCTGGTCATCACCAAGGAGCTAACGCGCACTGCCCAGGAGTACGCTGGCAAGCAGGCGCACGTGGAGCTAGCAGAGAGGTCCGATTGGTTGATAACTGGATACCGAGGTGTCTTACTTCAAATAAGATGTTAGAGAAAAAAACGTTTAAGCCCTTAAATCTGATTTACAGGATGAGAAAAAGAGATGCAGGTAGCGCCCCCAACCTGGGAGACCGAGTCCCGTATGTCATCATCAAGGCTGCGAAGGGAGCAGCGGCATACATGAAGTCAGAGGTGTGTAGGGCGTGTTGATGTTTCATCTGTTCCCTTCTTAGTGGAAACATTCAGCTTTGATAATGATCCCCATACAACATTTCCATTCAGGACCCCATCTACGTGCTGGAGAACAACATTCCCATTGACACACAATACTACCTGGAGCAGCAGCTGTCCAAACCTCTGTTGAGAATATTTGAGCCCATCCTGGGAGAGAGCAAAGCAGAGAGCATCCTGCTCAGTAAGTCAGCACACCTGACCAAGTATTTTAACATGTATGGAAAATACGAGTTTAAAAAAGTTAACTGAAATAAAAATAAGAACTAGACTTCCCAAAAACAGTTATTGTGAACATAATCGTAAGAGGTGTGATGTGTTACTGTGAATCTTATCGTTGCTCTTGAATTTGGTGGTGTGTTTCAGAGGGCGACCACACACGCTGTAAAACTGTGTTAACCTCAAAGGTTGGAGGCCTCATGGCGTTTGCTCAGAAGAGAAGCACCTGTATTGGCTGCAAAGCTGTGCTCAAGACAGATGGTGTGTGTGTGCAATTTCCACCTTCTTTACTTCAGCTGATGTTTTGGAAAATGACAAAGCTGGAAGTTTAACATGTAATGTGCATCTTTGCAGCGGCCGTGTGTGATTTCTGCAAGAAGAAAGAATCTGAGCTCTACCAAAAAGAGGTGAAGTGGCTATCAGACTGTCGGGAGATAAAAACCAAACCAATAAAATTCAGGTCTGTCTTAGTGCATTGCTAATTAGCACGTTATCGACCACAGATCTTTCACCTGAATGCGCTGGAGGAGCGTTTCTCTCGCTTGTGGACTCAGTGTCAGCGCTGTCAAGGCTCACTCCATGAAGATGTGCTGTGCACCAGGTGTGTATATGAATGACATTATGATAATTTTCATGATAACGGACAACGGTTGATTGGTTTGCAGCAGAATTACAATAACGCTGTACCCGCTGTCTCCTCTGCAGCCGGGATTGTCCGATCTTCTACATGAGGAAAAAGGTTCAGAAAGACCTGGACGACCAGAGCAAGCTGGTGTCTCGTTTCGGATGGTGAGGGAGACGCTAGCTCGCTGCGATCGCTCATGTGCCTAATTTCAGACGACCTTTCACTGTATTTACTCTTTTGTTAAAAAAAAGAAAGAAATGGATATATATGACTATTTTCTGTGTTTTCTAATATGAATAAATGACAATAAGTAGAGTTTTGTAAAATAAAATCAAAAAAGAAATTGTGGTTTTTACTCACTGAACATTTAAAAGGGAATCTCATTAGAAGTGATGAATCAACACACGTCAACAGCATCACATCTACAGTTTCTGAATGACCCTGTTCAGCTGTGTACGTACTTACACACCCGAGTCTTTGACATCAAAGTGCATAATTTCACAGAAATGAAAAGGGGAACTTGATTACCTTCAGCACTTTGTCTCAGTCAAACCTCAAACCACAGCCCTTCCTCCCCACTGATTTTGCACTTCAGAAGAGAAACCCGTAAATATAGCAGCAAGCGGCAACGGGAGAGCAAAGCAGGTCTGGGGAAACCGCTGGTACAACTTCATGTTCAAAAGCGCTGATAGGTAAAACAATTTTTTACTTTTTTCTTTTCCTTTATTGAGAGCTGACACAATGTTTGGTGAAAAATCAGTCTGATAACTTCTGTGAGGCTTGGTCTGAAGATCACCTGTGCAAGTGCAGGTGACGCTTTCTTAAGGCAGGGCTGCAAAAAAACTCTTAAACGTTGGAAATTTACATCATAAGCTGCATCCTAATCAGGTCAAAACCTGTTGCCTATCAGTTATTCCATCTCAAAAGCCTGCAAGTAAAAATTATATAAACAAAACAGACACCATGTAAAAGCTGAAGACTTTTACTCGTTTCTTACAGCAGAGCGCATTACAGATTTACAACGTCTTACTCAGTTAACCTCCTTGATCATATAATAATCATATATGCATTAGGCAGTCAGAGCCCTCTGGTTAAGACAATTAAAAAAGTAAAAATCCTACATGGATGGATTGACTTGTTAGCAGGATGCAACTCCCCTGAAGTTAGTTCACTGAACAGTGACATAGTTTTTAGTAAATACACAGATGCTGGTTTTTAAATTGTCGGATGTTTGTAGTTCAACAGAAAAATGACCACACCTCACGAGTGTTACTGTGCTCGACATGTTTTGTGTAGTACCACAGCGTTGTTTTCACAAACTACGTGCTGTGGTGGAGTTTGGTGTCACATAAACAGTGTTTGGACACAGTAATGAACTCCTGACAACACTAGGACCGGCAAAATAACTGTGTTAAAAATGGACTTTGGAGTCAAGTGTGAATGTTCACACCAATAACGGCCTTAAAAAAATGACAAGCAGAGGAATCAGATCGTCTGATTTTTCTCTGTTATAAATCAGCGTCTGATACGACGCTGTATTCCTGAGTAGCCTTTAAAGTGGCACTAATTCTAAAATCTGCATTAACCACACAACAGGAAGTGACTAAAGTGCACCTGGGAATTTAAAACACAGTTTTGAGGTTTGTTAACGGGGAAATCCTACAAGACAACTTTTTTTTTTTCTTTTAGAAAAAAATTTATTCAAAAGTAAATAATGCTGATGTGTTTCAAGCCCCAGAGACTGCACCAACCTATATGTATTTTAAAAAATGCACACAAGGGGAACGATTTTAGAAAAGGTTTTGACTAACTACGTGTCCATGGTAAAGTGGTCTCACAGGAAAAAAATAAAACAACCTCCAAACTCTCCAGCTCATTTAAACAGTTTCCTCATGAAGTCAAACACTGACCATTCAGCAAATTTTATATAAAAAAAAAAAGTGGAAATGTGCTGAGCACGACAATAACAAATGGAAATGTAACAGCGTAAAGTGCAGTGATGCATTACTGTGAACTCCTGACATCTAAACGGTCAACAGAAGCTAAAAATGACCCACTAAACTCCAATAAAACCACATTTAAAAAGTACACTTGCCCAAACGCTGCTAAATTGACACTGCACATGAATGTATGAATAACAAACCTTGTGAATACACACCATAACTGGAAACTTTCACACCAATAAAAATAGATGTTTTTTCTTTCCCCGCATGTCTACGTCCTTATGTGGAGGTGTGTGCGATGTCTCCAAGGTGCAGGGGCAGTTGTGGGGATGAGGGGAGGAAGAAACAAGTGCTGTAAGTGATGCTGGCTCTGTGTGTGGTTTGCTATAGTATCATGCAACGTCTCTGAGTGTTCTTCTTGCTCTTCTTGTTGCTGCGGTTGGTCTCCTTGTATCTTCTGATCTCCCGTACTAGAGAATAGAAAGCTTCCTCCACACCCTGCAAAATAGAGAAGAAGCCGATTCAACGTTTTAGGAGGTTTTATTCAGGAACACAAGAATGGATTGATGAGTGCTGTCGACAGGTTACCGTTACCTGTCTGGTTTTGGCGGAGGTCTCTACAAACGGCACGCCGTAGCTCCTCGCCAGCTCCTGCGCCTGCTGCGTCTTCACTGTGCGGGTGCTGAGGTCACTCTTGTTCCCCACGAGCACCATGGGGACGCTGTCACTGTCCTTCACCCTATTGATCTGCTCTCTGAGGAGAACACACGAGACAGAGCACGTTGCAAACGCTGGTCGATCAGTTCAGACTGACGATATTATTCAGCAGGCCAGACTGAAGACCTGTGGTTTTTTTTAGTTTTATCATTTGCAGACAGAATAATTTAGTTGGTGTTGCAACACTCGCTGGGTTCTGTGTGTTACACTTTTATCTGTGGCTTCCCTGTTTGCAACGTTTTATATTTACAAGTCAAAACATTTTTGGATCAGTTACGAAATGTACAAATGACCCCACAAAAATTGCAGACACGCTAAGTTTATCTGCAGATATTTGGTAAACAAGTGAGTGCAGTTCTCGCTAAACAGGAAATAGCCTTTGAGTGCCTAAATGTGCACAGTTGAGACAGCTATGCACAGCTGTCTTAAATCTCTGTGTGACTGAAATAAGGAATTAGTCCTACTTGGAGACTACTGTTTGAATTCTTTGTCCAGCTGTCTGAGCTGACGTGAACCCGCGAAACTTCCTGTACCTGTAAAGGTGAACATCCTCAAAGGACTTGCTGTTGTTGATGGCAAACACACAGAGGAAGCCTTCTCCCGTCCTCATATACTGGTCCCTCATGGCGCTGTACTCCTCCTGACCTGCAGTGTCCAGGATGTCCAGCAGACATGTCTCTCCATCAATCACCACCTGCTTTCTGTACGAGTCCTGCAAAACAGCACGAGTTAGGCCAGAATGCATCATCCTGAGTCTCACGCTGCTGCATCATGTAGCAACAAGATCTTGGTGATTAGGTGGTTTTGAAATCAATGTGCTCAAGTGTGAATATTTTATAAGCAATTATGGAATCGCACCATTTACTGGCAAGAAGGCTGACGTGTATTTACACGGGATAATTTAGAACGTGACAGTTATTTGCAGGTATGATTATATTTTTATCAAATATTGCCATCTTTAAACTAGAAGGTTATCCCGAGGGTATGAGCTCTGCCGAGGCAAAAGGTCTGTTTAACAATTTTAAATTAAAGAGGTCTGGATTTGCACAGAAATTTAACAGATATTTGCTCGTCCCTTGCCCCATGCTGCACCTCTTCACCTTGGTGTTTCATGCACAGTCTTGCTGACAAAGCTGCACCTCCAGTTCAACTCTTGCCTTGGCAGAGGACTACAGTGTTAGAAGGTTTTGGGCAGGTTTTAACAAGGTTTCTGGCCTGACTCTGACAGCAGCAGTCCACGTGGTGACGTACACCATTTGCAGACACAAAATATATAAAGACTGTGAATCTCTTAACAGAAAAACATAAAATTAAATTGTGTTAAAATCAGCTCAGTGTTAAACAAAAACACTTTAAAAGATTTGTTACGTGGTCGTGCAGCGGGAATAGCAATCCTGTGATGTAACTGCACTATTGTAAAACTAAAATCTACATTAATCTGATTCTTTTTTAATATGCAATGGCGATACTTAAAAGAAACGCTCCTTCTGAGGTCATAAACTGGGACTTTGCTTGGGTTGGATACTCAGTTTCATGGACAAACATTTGCCAGAAATGAAAAGAATTTATTAAATAAACACGGGATCCTTGTAACTGCTCCAAGCGGCAATTCTTCCAACAACACCGGGACATATCAACCATTAAAACCGGACTAATTCTGATAGATAAAATAAAAACCCGATTAATAACACATCTGTAGCACTAATGAGCAGTACGGAGGCTAGTTAAGCGCCAGATTAGACTATGTATTACAGCACTTTGCGTCTGCTGGTCACTTACCTCGATAGTTGGATCGTATTCATCCACAAAGTGGTTCTGGATGAGCTGGATGGTGAGAGCGCTCTTGCCCACACCTCCTGCCCCGACCACCACAAGTTTGTACTCGGTCATACCTGGAGAGGATGAAGCCAACAGGTGACCATTAAGACATCGAATAATTTTCCCCCTTCCTAACTGAGCTGACATGGCGAAGAAGACACTGACTGACCCAGATTTATCGGCAGACGTTTAAAGTCTTTCTTTCTACTTCTTCTTCTTTTTTTTTTTTTGCCAAAGTAGAGTCAACTGAAATGATAACCAAACGGAGACATAAACTGCTTGGCTTACCTTTGTGAAGAAGTTATAACGGCGTAAAATGAAAACGGAGTTTTGGACTAGATAAATGAGATTAGCTCGCTACATAACGTTAGCCTGATTTCCTTGTTTTAGACACTTGTAGAAACACTTCAGGATGTGTCCAGAACTTTCTTATCTGACCCGCGCGTCCAAAAAATACTGAAGTAAAACTGTTGAGCTACTAGTAAAAATCAGAATTTATGTTATTAAATAATTAAAATCCCAGATTCGTTCGAGTTCCTACTTATTCTTCATTGTCGTTCATTGGAAGTAGAGCGTTTTTTCTTTACGTTAATCCCCGGGTGAAGCAGCCTATGAGACCACAGCACGAAGACGGACATCTTAACTGTCCAATCACAGCAGGGAACTGGTTCGTGACCTCGCCCAGAGTTGCTGCGGTCCAATTATAAAAAGGTACGGCTTAAAACGGGCGTGGCATTTAAAAGGCAATCTTCCTCGAAATGCTCACAAAGAGAACTGCATTTAATTTGAATACCGAACAATACGATGTTATACGTCCAAAAAACAAGTTTGAAGCAAACAGCAGCTTTGTAAATGCTCAAAGTGCTTATGGGAAGTGTTACGATATTTAACTCGGCACTATACAGTACATGTGTGGTCATCGCCCCCTTGTGGCCATATTGAGGAACTGCAACAGCAAATTAGTTAATGCACAATAACTATGTAATTATTAATACAGCAATTATTAAATTAATAAAATCCGTTAAAAACCATAGTTAAAAACAGCAACTTAAATGAAATAAAATAATAGTAATATGGAAATATTATTTTTATGTCTCCCAAATGACATTTGGATGTCTCAGACCTGTTGCAGTTCAACCTGGATAAAAACCTTTAATTTTAGGTTTATAGGGAGAGTTACAGACAGACAAGAACTGCACGGCCCACTCAACAAATCATCAAGTGGGATAGAGACACATATTCTTTTACTTGCCTTTAAAGCGCTTTACTTCTTGCAATACCTTTCTTTAGGAACACTTAGATTTTTATTTTTCTATTTTTTTTATTAATGGTGTGTCATGGTGTTGATTTGTTTTACGTTTTAATAGTCTTATTATCTATATTACATATCTACACAAAAATATTTTATTTATTTCTCGGGTAAAGCTGGGGGAGTCACTGCTGATTGTCAAATCACTGGTAGTAGCTATAATCATTGCTAGTCTTTATAATTTCAAAATTAAATTATCAAAGACAACCAGCAGTACCATGTGGCAATAACTTTTAACTGCTGGTAATCTCCAAAGTTGAAAAATATGCGTCATCGCAGCAGGTTGCTTTCCTGTCTGACATCCCCAAGGGGAATTTCTGTCTCTTGCAGGAATTGAGCTAGCAACCGTTTGCTTGGTAAGCAAATGTGTGTTAACCACTACTCTATCCCTAAAGCTGGAGTCACTGAACTGGATTTCTAGCCATGTTTGTGGTGGCATTTAATGGATCATCTGACAATTATTTATGATTTGCTGCATGGTACAGCTAGTCCAAGAACTTTGCACTAGTATTTTCATATTTCCATGTTTTATAGTCTTTGTTTTACACCCTTACCATCTGTAGTACAACCCCAATTGCACAATTTTTTAAAAAAAAATGTGACACTGTGTAATCTATGGATGAAAAATGGAAGGCAATAGTTTGCAGATCATCACCCCAAATTCTGAGAAACAAGATAAATCTCTGTGTGCAAAGAACAAGACCAAAAGTCAAAGTTGATCAAGACCACAGGTAGCACTGCATTAAAAACAGGCATGATTCTGTCATTGATATCACTGCATGGACCCAGAAACGCGTACAGAAACCATTGTCTTTGAACACAGTTGGCATCCAAAAATGCAATTTAAAGCAAAGAAGAAGCCACTGAAAGTGAAATTCTTTGTGGAAAACATTTGCATCTCAGACTAAAGAGGAGAAGGACCTCCAGTAGTATGGAGTAACATTGTAAATCCTGTGGAATTACACATCTAGAAAGGCATCATCAGTGCTGAAAGGCAGGCTTCACAGCAACATCCAGATGATATTCTTTTAAGGGATGTATGTTTCAGCAAAACAATGCTAAACCGTGCACTGCATCTATTTCAGCAGCATGGGTTCCTAGTAGAAGAGTATGGGTGTTGAACTGGTCTGTCTGCTGTTCAGATCAGCTGAAAACATCAGGAGCATTAAACAAGAAATACAACAAAGAAGATCCAGGTCTGTTGCATTGCTAGAATCTTATTTTAAACAAGAATGGGACATCATTCCTCATCTGGAAGTCTAGCAGCAGATCTTTCAGTTTCCAGATGTTTATCGATTGTTGTTAAAAAAAGAGGTGGTAAACATGGCCCTGTCCCAACCTTTTTTCAAATTCTACATTCAAAATTGCCCCATTGTGTTTGTTAAAATGGCACATGAGATTTTTTAAAAGAACATTTGCAAATCATTACATTCACTTTTCATTTACATTTTACACAGAGTCCGACCTTTGTTTTGGAGTCAGGGTTGTAGAATTTTGGACCTGATTATTAAAAATCACGAATCTTTGCTGCCCTCTAGTGTTCAAAGCAACTTTTACCCTTGAGTTATGTCAATGTAGGCAATACTTCCGGTAAATTCTTTTCAAAATAAAGAACCAACTGAACCGTTAATAAAAGCGTTGACTGAGTGGATTTTAAATTATTAAAAGATGACGATGAAAATCGCTTGGGGAGATTATTTCAGCTCCGTTGGAAACAGAATGATTTTATGATTGTAAAAATAAAAAATGCAGAACTCAATTCTTTCAATAGAGCAAAAATAAATACGTTATTGCGGAGAATCGTTGATTTTTTTAAAAAGATTTTTTACAAGCGCTTTAGAGGAAGCGGCACCGCAAATACAAACAGGCGTGGACTGATCCATCATGCTCACTTCCCTTGTCTGTGACGTCCATGTTTCCCCCTCACTCTCCCACAGAGTGCATCTGCTGTCCTATCTAATCTTTGCCTAAAATCACAGCGATAATCCTGCATCCATCTGTTCCGAGAGAAAGACAGAGAGAGTGAAAGACAAAGCACCGACAATCTAGAAACCAACACCATTTTTTGCGTCATCATGTTTTAGGTGATAAAATCCCGATGACACAATTCCACTGAAATAGTGACATCATCTTAAATTGCTTGAATTTTATTATACACAAGGTTATCTCACATGTACACCTTTTTACATAAAATATTTTCCATATATTTGCATTTTTAAATACAGATCTTTTCTCGTGTTTTTAAATTTTTTTTACACCAAATCCCACCAGATAACCACACATTTCATTGAGGATGGGAAGGAAAACATTGGAGCAGCCATAAACTGAGACAAAGAAGAAAAAAGCAGATCAAAGATACACTGATACAACACGCACAAAATGAACTTGTTCACAGTTATCATCATTCACGTCATTAAGACTTTTCACTCAAAAAATGGCAATTGACCTTTTGCACTTTTTTTCTTGTAATTATTCGACACAGCAACACATTTAAAAACTAAACCCCCAAGTGAATCAAACACGTCCTTTTTAAACAGTCCAGCACTGCAAACGTGACCCACTGAGTACCACCAACAGATGTACTGTCTGTCAGCACGAACAGATGCAGGAGTTATGTGTGTGTGTGTCTGTGTGTACACAAGTCCAGTTCTACTGCAGATTACCTCGCCCGTATGTGACTGTACTCCATTTCCCAGCTGCCAGTGCGCTTGACAGGCAGGAAGCTGAGGTTCTCTACTCTTACAAGATATAAGTGAAGCTGAACTTCACACATTCTCTAATAATGTTCGCCTATCAAACTCTGTCTGCACGATTCACTGTGCACTCGCATGAAATTAGCCCGCCTGTGTGTGTTTGTGTGTAAAAGGGAAAATATGAGGGCTGGCACAGTACTGCACCACTGTGTCCATTAAATATGCTCACTGCACAACTTTTCAGCACCTGCACCCAACACAACAGCACACTTGCTGTCACACACACACAGACACACACAGTCGATCTGAAAAGCTTGGATTTACCCGCACAAACACGACTGATGTTGAGAGAAGGATAAGACAAGGAGGAAAAATGGAGGGAGAGGCTGCCAGAGAAACAAGAAAAGGCATAAACAGAAAGTGCTGCGAGGCCTGGGAGTGTTATAAATATGTACCAAGCTGAGGGACAACTATACACACTGAATAGAAAGTGGGAATTGTCAGATGATTACTGGCGACTTTGACCTGTAAGCGTGGCTGGACATGAGATGCAGTGAGAAACTGTAGCCGGCAAACTCAAGCACACAGGTGAAGGGAAGTTTTAAAGCTTTACACTCATCTACGTACGACTTTACAACACCTAAGCACCTTTTTTCTTTTCACTTTGATTAGGAAGTTTGAAAGTTAAACTCAGTGGCGTCGTGGCTGGTGGCGTCTGTTTAGTTTATCTGGGAGCTTTGAGAGCTTGGATTTGGTGATGAATTCTGCATTGAATAGAAGTGTGAGGTTTTTTAAAACTGAGGCTCTGAAGGTGCTTTCCCAGCAAAATAAAAGTAAATGCATGACTCACACATAAAAAATTAAAAACAACACAATCCCAGTGGCTTCAGCAAGTTGCTATACAGGCAAAAGCCCACAACTCTCTCGCTCTTTCTGTCTCTCTCTC